CTCCTGCAAGTGCAGCAGTGAGATCATTTAAACTCCACAGATCCACGTGGTATCTGACTGGGAAGTCTGTTTTAATAAATAAGTGAGCTGCTTTCCTGTGATTGTACTTCGGAAATCAAGTTCACAATGCTCTTTGTTATTGCTGCTGATGCTCTTCAGGATCTTTGATACATTTGATGTACTTGCATGATTCTTGCAATACTTGGATTGCAATCTCATGATTGAATACATTAACTGTATTGTTATAAACTTTAGATAAAAGTGCCAAACCACAAAAATAAAAACATTTCATCTACAACAAGACATTTACAATATGCTGCAGAAAGAAATGTAAGTTCTTGTCAGAAAATTACATTTTAAAAAGAAGAAACATAAAGAAGATATACTTCACTCTAAATGATATCTGTACAGGTACACAACCACAAGGTAAGTGTTATTCTTTGAATTTGCATCTAGGGGAAATGTAAACAGCAGCAACATCATGCATCAGTCTTGCCTTCTGTCTGCCAATCACATGCAGAAGCTTCAAACAGGAACTTTTGACTGATACAAGTCTTTAAATATGTGTATCTTAATATAAGTTGCTGCCTCAGCCCGATTCATATTCATTCCATTCCCATAACTGGACATTAGCGAGGAGTAACACAGTTAATGAAGGAATCTAATGTCTAAGCTAGGTTGCTTTTATCTCAACTCTGTTTTTTCACTCTTCCTGGGTCACTTGGTGAGGCTGATTTGATGGTGGTTGAAAGTAAGGAGTGTCATATAGCCTTTTTGTTAGTGTTAGAGTTAGGGCTTTCACACCTGAAGAAAATTCCTGATATTTGCCGGGGGAAGCTGTATGTGTGAACGCAAACAGCCAAATTTTTCCTTCGGACTTCACCCGGAGTCTCCCGCCAGACTGATGTGAGAAGCAGCAGGATATTCTCCAGAGAATTCACCTCGAGCCAGTGGGAGGGAGGGAGTGACAAAATAGTGTCAGTACTGGTCCTACAGGCCAGTCTATAGTCCATATCATTAACTCTTAATTTAGTTAGACTACATCAACATTCAGACTACATATAAGATGCAAAAAGGCAGAGGACAAAGAGCCCTAACCCTAATCCCAGAAGAAAAGGATCAAACATGTAGTGCAATCCCCCGAAGTCTGAGACGGTAACCCCAAAATTTGTGAAACTCTCGTGCAATTAATTATTTCTCTTTTACCCAGGAGACAGGATCGGAGGGAAAGATACCAGGAAACAATTTGTCTTTCTAATATGATTATGTATATACAAGATATTAATGACATGTATCAAAAGCCAGATATCAGGAAGACACTTAAGGTTAAACCTGCTTCAGAGTACAGGCCTCAGATCTGTGTTTCATCTTCCTGAAAAGCAAATGTTACCTAAACGACAATAAAGTGAATGTTGTATTTAAGAGATAAAGACGAAAGGACACCAAAACAACAAACACTTTTGGCAAGGAAGAGCAATGGACAGGACAGGGAATGGATCCAAATATAGACAGCTCATGCAGAAAGCAACAATTCAGGGATAATTAATATAGAGGTTAGTGAAAGTATAGATGTATTAACTAGATAGCAGGAACGGGGCCAGAAAACAATTGACGGAACATATTAAAATGATCATGAAGAACACATCTACAATGTAAACACCTGAAGCTTTTCCATGCAAAACTGCTAAACTCTTGTTTGGTCACTCTTTGTAAACAAGGATGTCCTTTAGACAGTTAAGCCTGTTTGTTTTTTGTCTTAACAGCCTGAGTCTCCAGGCTATATAAATGACACCTGTACAGTAGCTTTTTCAGGCTGCAGTCCTAGACTCAACAATGACTCCGTATACTTTCGTATTACCTTCGTTTGGGCCTTTGGCCTCTGCGTTGTTCTTCAGGCGTTTGATCCACATGGTATCTGACTGGGAAGTCTGTTTTAATAAATAAGTGAATTGTGTGAGCTGCTTTCATGTGATTGTACTTCGGAAATCAATTTCACAATGCTCTTTGTTATTGCTGCTCATGCTCTTCAGGATCTTTGATACATTTGATGTACTTGCATGATTCTTGCAATACTTGGATTGCAAACTCATGATTGAATACATTAACTGTATTGCTATAAACTTTGGATAAAAGTGCCAAACCACAAAAATAAAAACATTTTACCCACAACAACAATAAGACGAAAGGAAGTCCTCACATTTTGGAAGATGGAATCACAAAATTTTAAAGCATTGTACACGCAATGTCATTTTAAATTTTGAAACAGACTTTACATGTTTTTCAATCCTTTTCATTATATAACAAAGAGTAAGGGCTTTACCTGCTCTTTTGTAAAGAGTCTTGAGATTACATTTGTGATAAATTGGGGTTTTACAAATAAAGATTGATTGATTGATTTAGAGTCTAGATGTGATTTATTCATTTATCGAGGAATTCATTTTATCATCAAGTTCCAACCCTATGCTGCAGAAAGAAATGTAAGTTCTTGTCAGAAAATTACATTTTAAAAAGGAGAAGAAACATATAGAAGATATACTTCACTCTATATGATATCTGTACAGGTACACAACCACAAGGTAAGTGTTATTCTTTGAATTTGCATCTAGGGGAAATGTAAACAGCAGCAACATCATGCATCAGTCTTGCCTTCTGTCTGCCAATCACATGCAGAAGCTTCAAACAGGAACTTTTGACTGATACAAGTCTTTAAATATGTGTATCTTAATATAAGTTGCTGCCTCAGCCTGATTCATATTCATTCCATTCCCATAACTGGACATTGTCTAATAACTGGACATTAGCGAGGAGTAAAACAGTTAATGAAAAAATCTAATGTCTAAGCTAGGTTAGCTTTGCTTTTATCTCAACTCTGTTTTTTCACTCTTCCTGGGTCACTTGGTGTGGCTGATTTGATGGTGGTTGAAAGTAAGGAGTGTCATATAGCATTTTTGTTAGGGTTAGGGCTTTCACACCTGAAGAAAATTCCTGATATTTGCCGGGGGAAGCTGTATGTGTGAACGCAAACAGCCAAATTTTTCCTTCGGACTTCACCCGGAGTCTCCCGCCAGACTGATGTGAGAAGGCAGCAGGATATTCTCCAGAGAATTCACCTCGAGCCAGTGGGAGGGAGGGAGTGACAAAATAGTGTCAGTACTGGTCCTACAGGCCAGTCTATAGTCCATATCATTAACTCTTAATTTAGTTAGACTACATCAACATTCAGACTACATATAAGATGCAAAAAGGCAGAGGACAAAGAGCCCTAAGCCTAATCCCAGAAGAAAAGGATCAAACATGTAGTGCAATCCCCCCAAGTCTGAGACAGTAACCCCAAAATTTGTGAAACTCTCGTGCAATTAATTATTTCTCTTTTAGCCAGGAGACAGGATAGGAGGGAAAGATACCAGGAAACAATTTGTCTTTCTAATATGATTATGTATATACAAGATATTAATGACATATATCAAAAGCCAGATACCAGAAAGACACTTAAGGTTAAACCTGCTTCAGAGTACAGGCCTCAGATCTGTGTTTGATCTTCCTGAAAAGCAAATGTTACCTAAACGACAATAAATTGTATGTTGTATTTAAGAGATAAAGACGAAAGGACACCAAAACAACAAACACTTTTGGCAAGGAAGAGCAATGGACAGGACAGGGAATGGATCCAAATATAGACAGCTCATGCAGAAAGCAACAATTCAGGGATAATTAATGTAGAGGTTAGTGAATGTATAGATGTATTAACTAGATAGCAGGAACGGGGCCAGAAAACAATTGACGGAACATATTAAAATGGTCATGAAGAACACATCTACAATGTAAACACCTGAAGCTTTTCCATGCAAAACTGCTAAACTCTTGTTTGGTCACTCTTTGTAAACAAGGATGTCTTTTGGACAGTTAAGCCTGTTTGTTTTTTGTCTTAACAGCCTGAGTCTCCAGCCTATATAAATGACACCTGTACAGTAGCTTTTTCAGGCTGTAGTCATAGACTCAACAATGACACTGTATACTTTGACCTTCGTTTGGGCCTTTGGCCTCTGCGCTGTTCTTCAGTCGCCCGGCACTTCAGCGTTTTGGTTTGTAAGTGAAATGAAATGTCCTCTGTTGTGTATTTAAGTTGTTTTGTAATATCAAAGGTATTTACCATACTTTTTACATTTTTGCCTATAATGTCTGTATCTAACTGTTATTTCTTTTTCATTGCTAAAACAACATATTTAATACAGGGTAAGTGTTTGTCATTATTATTATAAATAATATTATTTATATTTGTCTTACATATTCAAGCTTTAAAAAAGTGTTTATTTCTGTGTTCATTTAGATTTGCACCCAGTTCCTTCAAACCCTAATAACGGAAATCAAGGCAGCGGTAAGTGATCGTAATCATTATAATATTAAAATGTAGTAAATTTATATACATTCATAAATCACATTTTCTTTGGCTTTTTTTTTAGGCAACAATGAGATCTCTTCCTCAGAAGATGTGGAGATTGTGAACAAACATAACGACCTGAGGAGGAATGTGCAGCCTTCTGCAAGCAACATGTTGAAAATGGTAACAACCTGACAATGCATTCAGATTATTTCATTATTTCAACAACAAAAAAATATTATTTCAAATTATTATTATTATTTTTCTTCTAAGCATTAATCGTTCAATCTATCTAGCCAATTAGGGCTTGAGATATTATTACACATGGTCCATCATGCTGCAGCAAAACAGTAAAGATTGAATGAGTTTTAAAACAAGCACAAAGCACTTGAGGATTCTTTTCAGTAGTGGTCTACATTTGTCGTCTGTTCCCCACAGAGCTGGAGCAGCGAGGCAGCAGCCAACGCTAAGAGATGGGCTGACAGCTGCTCAATGAAGCACAGCAGGAAGAGCTTCAGAAAGATCAGGTGTAAGTACTCAATACTCCCTCTCCCGCACTTCTTTTATTTTGTTGATTTATTTAAATTTGGATTATTCTGGAAGACTGACACAGTTATTTAAAATGTTGATCTTAATCAAGTTCCCATCTTTTTTTTTAAACTAAACAGTTGTAAATAGGAAATATTAAAGAGAAACTAAACAATTGTTAAGCATCCCTCTCTTACTGTTAAACTAAAGCAAGCGGCTGTGGAGAGAATCTATACATGTCCAGCAACAAGAGAAGCTGGAGTCATGCTATCCAGTCCTGGTACGACGAGGTGAAAGACTGGCGCTATGGAGCGGGATCCATCAACGGAGAGGATGTCGGCCACTTTACACAGGTGCACATATTTGAACAGCACTGTTAGAAGGGACAACTTGCATTAAAAGAAAAAAATCAGTACATATCATGCCATGAGCTCCTGGTGATTTCATGTTTTATACCTCGGCCTCTGCACAGGTTGTTTGGTACAGGTCCAACCTTGTTGGCTGTGCTATGGCCCACTGTCCAGGCTCTCGGTACAGTTACTTCTATGTCTGCCAATACTGCCCACCGTAAGTATAAATATTCTTTCACTGGGAAGTCCTTTTTTTTTCATTTTCAGTACCTTTTTTAGTTTTAATTCAAGTCAATGTGTCCAAGGTCAAGCTCCAGTATGTAATTATAAACATAATTGTATCGTTCATTCCTGATTTTCTTTTGACAATTTAATTCAGATATTGTGTTTTTTCTCAAACCAGAACACAACAGGATTTACTCTCAGTGATATTCCAATGCAAACAATGTCAGAATCATAATTAGAAGAACCATGTAGTCTACTCAGTAACTCCTGAGATATGCAAACTAAGTGGATGAACAACAGCACAGTGATGCTCCGTAGTACTGACAAGTAAAACTTCCATTTGCATCTCAATTCTACTTGTTAACCTTGAGGAGTCCTAAAACAGCAATTCAAAAGTGCTTTTCTGTTAAATATCATGTCTGTGACATATTGCAGTTGTGTGAGTCCTTATGGTTGTACAGTTGATTGATTTACTCTTGCCTACATTACAGTGGAAACTACCAGTTATCTCGCCCCTACAAGAGAGGACCCTCTTGTGGTGACTGCCCCAACTCTTGCGACAACGGACTGTGCAGTAAGTGGACATTTTTTATTGCACATAATAAAAAAATAAAAAAATAATGGAACAATTAAAAGAGAAACAATACAAGCAGTACATAATGTTTAGGAAGTTAAAAAAGAATAACATCTATATACTATAGTCTTGATATGATCATGTATTGAAACATTAAAGTATTTTGTTGTAAGACTTTGTAGGTATCCAACCTGAACAGTGAGCTCTGTGTATTATCTAAATTATTTCTGAATCCATTAATTATCTACTTCTTTCCATCTCTTCCAGCCAACCCCTGCAAATACACTGACAGGTACAATAACTGTCCTAGTCTGAAGAGGCAGCATGGCTGTGGCCACAGGAAAGTGGCTGCCTGGTGTCCGGCCTCCTGCAGGTGCAGCAGTGAGATCATTTAAACTCCACAGATCCACGTGGTATCTGACTGGGAAGTCTGTTTTAATAAATAAGTGAATTGTGTGAGCTGCTTTCCTGTGATTGTACTTCGGAAATCAATTTCACAATGCTCTTTGTTATTGCTGCTGATGCTCTTCAGGATCTTTGATACATTTGATGTACTTGCATGATTCTTGCAATACTTGGATTGCAAACTCATGATTGAATACATTAACTGTATTGTTATAAACTTTGGATAAAACATTTTACCCACAACAACAATAAGACGAAAGGAAGTCCTCACATTTTAGAAGATGGAATCACAAAATCTTAAAGCATGGTACACGCAATGTCATTTTAAATTTTGAAACAGACTTTACATGTTTTCATTATATAACAAAGAGTAAGGTCTTTACCTGCTCTTTTGTAAAGAGTCTTGAGATTACATTTGTGATGAATTGGAGTTTTACAAATAAAGATTGATTGACTGATTTAGAGTCTAGATGTGATTTATTCATTTATCGAGGAATTCATTTTATCATCAAGTTCCAACCCTATGCTGCAGAAAGAAATGTAAATGTAAACAGCAGCAACATCATGCATCAGTCTTGCCTTCTGTCTGCCAATCACATGCAGAAGCTTCAAACAGGAACTTTTGACTGATACAAGTCTTTAAATATGTGTATCTTAATATAAGTTGCTGCCTCAGCCTGATTCATATTCATTCCATTCCCATAACTGGACATTGTCTAATAACTGGACATTAGTGAGGAGTAACACAGTTAATGAAAAAATCTAATGTCTAAGCTAGGTTAGCTTTGCTTTTATCTCAACTCTGTTTTTTCACTCTTCCTGGGTCACTTGGTGTGGCTGATTTGATGGTGGTTGAAAGTAAGGAGTGTCATATAGCATTTTTGTTAGTGTTAGGGTTAGGGCTTTCACACCTGAAGAAAATTCCTGATATTTGCCGGGGGAAGCTGTATGTGTGAACACAAACAACCAAATTTTTCCTTTGGACTTCACCTGGAGTCTCCCGCCAGACTGATGTGAGAATGCAGCAGGATATTTTCCAGAGAATTCACCTTGAGCCAATGGGAGGGAGGAGTGACATTTCTATAATGTGACTGCTGCACGGTGCATAGAGTGTATGCATGCAAGTGCTACGATCTATATGCACGTAATTAAGCGGCTTCATTACATTTTATTTTCACCACTATGTTCTTTTATTGACAGTGTGATTCCGTTGAACTAAACGTAGTATTGATATAGAGGCAAATATTTTCATGGTAGCCTTTTTTTTACGTCACGTCTTACTTCAGGAGCATATGTGAACAGCCAGGTCAGGAGAATATCCTGAGAAGTGCTCCTAAAATGATCTAGATATTTTAGGAGTGTATATGTGAAAACGGCTTTAGTTACGTATTTATTTTGTAAATGGTTTTGTCATTTCCTGTTTTATTTTATCACACACTCCACTCTTGTGTTGTATCACTTACTGCCCTTGTGTGTGTTTCTTTTTCTTTGAGATGTGTGCTCCGCCCTGAAAGTTTTTCACCTGTGTCTGTTCCTTCCCTTCTGTACCAGTTCCTTTCGTCTATTTCTCTACCCTTGCTCCTTGTGTTCTTGTTTTTTTTAGCTTGTGGCTCCTCCTGTTTTCTCACCTGTTTTGTTGGATATTTAGTTGGACCTTTTATTCACAGACTGGAAGTAGGTAAGCTTCTGTTTTGCTTTGTTGTTAATGAGAGAGAGAGAGAGAGAGAGAGAGAGAGAGCTCATATGCATGTAATTATTGCTCTTTATTCTGCTTTTTTTATTATTATTATTATCATCATCATCATTTTCATAATGCTAACATGTTTAGCTATAGCATGTAACTCTTCTTACAAATACATTGAACTGAAAGTGGTTGCCCCCGTCAGATAACATAATAGAATCTATCAAAAACCTAAAAATACACACATTTAGTCAATTATAAAATCCGAAAATCTTTAATTGCTTGCATGCAATTGCAATTCTGTTGACATTATCAAATCAATGAGTTAGTGGAGAGGACAACTGTAGTGAAAGATATTTTTCCAATAAACTTACTCTTCCAGTTATAAGTAATACCAGAAAAATCCTCAGGACCTTAGGCCTTTGTGTCAGAGCTGGCTTTTATGTTGAAAGCCAATTATCTAGGTTGCTTTAAATGCTGCTATCAAGAAGCTCTCCACATAAGTGCTGAGGGCAAAATGTTATGTCTAAATACAAAGTTTAGTAGGGACGTTTAGCAGTTTTTAACATGGTAAAAGTGAGGTGGTCCAAATGAAACAATGGGTCCAATGCCCATGTACAGTATTAGATGTTTGAAAGCTGATATCTCAACAACTACAACATCTGGAGTATTTAAACTTTCTGGTAAATTTCCCCATCTTATAATGCTTAACTTGTTCAAAAACCTATTTCTATTTCTAATATTAAATCCACAGGGGGTGATGCAGTTACTTTAACACATAATAATTTTACAATTATCTTTGTGAATAAGTTCCTCATAAGAACATCACAGAGGTGTAAATGTGGCAGCCTGTCTCATGAATACAGAAACGTTTTACAGAAAGATATGAACAATTCTGCAGCAGTCAACAACGTTTCATCTGTGGGTCGTCCAAAAGGACTTTGAAAGTTGCAACTTGCACCAACAACAAAAGCAGAAACTCACATCCAACTCATGTACAACCAAGTCTATCCTTTATCTGATTGCGACGGTACAAACTGGCCAGCATGAATCTACAGTAGTAGCACTTTAATAATCTTCGCACACAGATCCTGTGTAATGTGTCACTTGGTCTAAAACCTCTAACATGTAGCCTTCCAAAAAAGGTTGTTGCAAATAGCTTAGCCACACTCTTCCCCTGTTCATGGTGTCATAACCTGGCTCAGGGCCATAACAAATATGGGACAAGCAGATGGATGGAATATGGGAAGGGCACAATGTTTGACTGCAAATAATTATTTATCGTAAAAATGTGTTGGGGTTGTATCAAGTCAACTTTGGTTATATTCTTTAATAATTATATTTAATTATTAATAATATAAATAAAAAATATCATTAAACTATGTTTAATCTCGTTTGGGGCACCACCCTGTACTCAGGGAAATATAACCAAAATATCACTCAAATCAGTCTCAAATTATTTTTTTAATTACTAATATTATTAATAATTAATAACTATATTTGATAAATTGAAGGCGTGAAATCCGTACACAAAGCCCTCGCACCCAACTTATATCCCAATGCAAATACACCAGTAATCACAAACAACTGCTCTCTTAAAATTATAACAGAATTTATTTAAACAAAGCAACATCAATCCGAAATCAATGAACTTAATCAAACAAATAACTATCATAAACTAATCTAAGCAAACAAACATTATCAAGCAATGCTTGTGGATGAGGTGTAAATGTGTGTGTGTGTGTGTGTGTTGTTGGTTCTCCGTCGCTCTCCGAGAAACTGAGATGCGTTCACTGGACAATCCGAGCTCTGAATTTAGAACACTGGCGGCCGCGGATTACCTGCGCGCCAAAATTTAAAACAAAAGAAGATGGTTGCAGAAAATAGGAGGTGAGCTTGTGTCTCCGAACACTTGAAGTCAGCGCGTGGAAAGAGAGAGAACACTGGAAGTATTGGAGCTTTGTAGCCTGGCCTGCTCCATGGGGGGTCTACCTCAGGTCCCCTCCAATGAGGAGAGAGAGGTTCCGGTCCCCCCTTATTTCACGTGTAGGTGTGAAGTATTGCAGGGGATTCTGGGATTAAGAGTCCTTTAGGTCTCTTTGTGATCCCAGTGAATAAATCAAATGAGGCTTCTCACAGAGATGCAGGCCCAAGTCCATTGTTTGCTGGTCATAAGCCTGCGTGGCCCAACAAATGTAAACAACTGAAGGATGAACGTAAAATATGAAGGGTATCAGTCAAGTCAGAGATCTAAATGTCCGATGGATTTTTTGATCTTCCCCTTTCGAGACGCCATACCTTTAGTCTCCTGCCTGTCAGGAAAGGCTCTGTTCATCTGTCTGTCTTACTGTGGTCTCTAGGTCCACCAAGACCCTGCCCCATTTCTGTCTGCCTGAAGGTCCTTTGCATTGCCTCTGCCTCCAGGAAGTCCACCTTAAGGGCCCTATACTCTGCCCCTGTCCTGGCTCCAGACCTTCACCCTGATGGATACCACTCTTCCCCTATCCAGCTCCCGAGGCTGTTTAAAACTTAAACCCCAACTGTGCCACCAGATCACCAGAACATTTCACACCTTTGTAAATAAAATGTAATTTGTGCTGAACATGAATGTTCCAGTGGCGGGTAAGTGTTGAGGTAAGCTGCAATAGGTAGCTCTTTCAGAAACATCTTTCAGGTGGATTGATGGACAACAGCCTCCTGCCAGACAGGATTCTCTGAAAATAATTGAGTTGATCATCTCTCAACCAAGGGGCGGATGTTTGATACCAGCTCCAGCAGTCATATGTTTATGTATCCTTGGGCAAGACACTTTACCCAAAATAAGTCCCACTGCTGTGTTAGAGGCGTGTGAACAGTATGAATGGATTAGTTAATACTAATGGACACTATGCATAGCAGCCTCTGCCGTCAGTGTCTAAAAGGGTAGGTGTGACCTGCATGAAGATGAAGTGAAAGGCCGTGGTAATTTCATTGTCTGAAAGCCTGTTAGCTCTGTAGGTGAACTGCATGGGGCCCAAGAGTGGATGAGAAATGGCTTTGAGGTAGGGTAGCAAACGGCACTCAAATAACATAATCACTAAGGTTCTGTACAAAGACTTTAATATTTACGTTTTTTGTTAAGTATATCATATTTTAATATTCAATATTTAAGGACAGTTTTACACAGCTGATCTGAAGTTAGTCAGGATTAATGATAGGACTGGCCCGGCTGCTTTACAGATGTTAAGTCTCTTCAAGAAACAAACCAAACCACAAAGGTAGCACTTTGAAGCACCATCTTGTTGATTATGATATGGAGAAAGTCAAGGCAAGGAGAGTGATGAGGGTGCAAGGCAGATAGAATGAAGGATCTCGAATGAGAGGGGAATAGTCAGGGGGCATCTAGTGGCCAGTTGAAGTATAATGCTTACCGATGTAAGGAAATGTGTGTAAAGTACCAGTAAGGGCTGAATGATAGATTGTTTTGACATCGCAATAACGATGTGCACATGAAATAGTTGAATGGCAGGATGTGCGATGGCAATAATAAGACCTGAGACACATCATGCTGCCACATTTCTGTTTTTTGATGCAAACAAAATTGCCAGTTTCTTGTTTTCCATGACTTATTGTCTTTTATCTGTTATCTGTTACAGAATTGACTGTGATGCATGCAGTCTGTGTGTCCCTTTTAAAATGTTAACAATCAATAGACGCTGCTGCCGTCAGCATGGCGTGGCTCGGCATGATGCTCACAGCAGTCGCTCATTTATGCTAGGTGGATTTAAAACGAGCGTATTTTGGCTATCAGCTGCATGTGTGAAGCAGATTGTTTTAGTTTAGTGGCACACCTGCAGCACATACGGTGGATTGTTGTGAATCACAGGCAACTTAAGGTGGTGAACTTTCACTTACTTGAAAGTTACTGTAGTGACCAATTTTAACAAACCCAATATTGTTGAGAGAAGTCACTTGAGGGATGAATGTGGAAGCTTTCGGACGCGTGCTTAGCTCGAAGAAATTAACACAGTCCATTGATGATGTGATTTGGATATTTCAATCCAGTTATTTTTAAACACTTCTTATCATTAAAGGAAAATATGACGAACCACTACGTCTATTAATAAAACAAACAAATCCGTGTTGGATGCGTTTAACTCCGGCAGGCTGACACGGTAAAAAACTGTTTGCCTCCATTCAGTCACCTGTCCCACCTCACCTGGAGCCTTGCTTTAACCACAGCGTCCGCCCAGGCTACACATAGTGCCCAGTAGAAGGCCAACACACACAACCATAAGAAAAATAGCATGACACAAAACAAACACATCATTTGACTCCAACAGTTACTATCGCAGGGCTTGTTGTGATGAGTAAACATCTCTGAACATCTTGCAAGACAAAATGTGTTGCTCCATCAGTGCAATCTCTGCACATCTTTATCTTCTCTGTGTATGTGTCACCTGCTGGAAGAGGGCTTGACCAAATGTAAAAAAAAAAGGAAGAAGTAGTTTAGATTAGAAATACGAGGATGAATTAAAGACCCAAATAATAAAAGGTATGACACCTTTTTTTTTTTTTTAAATAGATGAATTTACATTAAATCACGCTGAATTGATCTGTTATAATTTCCTTTCCTAAGAAACCCCCAAAATATATCACACGAGGAAAGTCTCCTAATGTCAGATTTTTGCCGTAGTTTGGCTCTTATATTGTCAGATGATGGTGTCAAGGATGTTTTGCAGGTGTCACGTTGACTAAATGCTTTCTTCAGTTTGGTCGTTAAAATTTAGGATGTGATATTTTTGTTATTTTCTCAATTTAGATCCTGAGGTCACTGGCGAGGATCAGCAAGACATCCTGGACAAGCATAACGATCTAAGAAGGGCAGTTACCCCTACCACTAGCAACATGTTGAAAATGGTAACAACCGTTAAATGCTTTCTTGTTTAATAAATTCATTCAAAGCAGGATAACTGAGCACTTGTGTATTTTCTGATTTCTGATGTATATTTTGTGTTTGTGGCTGACCTGTCCTCTGCTCCCCACAGACCTGGAACAACGAAGCTGCAGAAAATGCTCAAGAGTGGGCAAAAACCTGCCCCATGGAACACAGCTCATACCTCTTCAGAAAGATCAGCAGTGAGTTCATCTAAACAGCTCTTACTCTCCAAAACAATATGTGTAATACCATCTGAAACATGTAATCTGGCACTAAACTCTCCACTGATAACAAGAGAAATCAAATTTAACAGATAACGCATGTCATTGCAGCGGGTTGAAATTAAATACAGAAAATAAATTATATTAGCTCATGTTAAAGATCACCAGACTGGTCCTTTGCGAGAAGAGTTAACATATGCCATCATTCAAAAAGCCAGCGCAGCTATACACAAATATACTCCAATGATTGCAAGTGCCAGAAATTGTTTTGCTTACTAATGATGTGATCGATGATTTCAAACATGTGATATATAAAATATATACTGTCTGAACGTGGAAAATCAATAAAAAATGGCTCACAAAAAAAAAATCACTATTGCTGAAAAGACAAGCAAAGGTTGAAAATGGAGGAATCAGGTTATTGATTTGGACTCTAGTGACAGAGTTTCTCAGGGTTTTTTCAGCTCAAGTATTTTGATTTCTAATGGACTGAAATGTCTCTCTGTCTTGTTGTTCAACTGTAGCTACCTACTGTGGAGAGAATCTGTTCATGTCCAGCCACAGGCTAGGCTGGAGCCAAGTTATCGATTCCTGGTACAGCGAGGTGAAAGACTGGGAATACGGAGTGGGATCAATCAACGATGGAGTGGTTGGACACTTCACACAGGTGATCTTATTAGATGTTGAATAGAGCTGTTGGTTCCTACAACCTTGCATACAAATGAGTCATCACTTGTTTTTCAAAATGATCTTACAAAACAGATCAAAACAAATGAAATAGTGCCGCACATCAGTGCCAGGAGCAGATTTTGTAATTCAAGTCCTCTTCACAGGTTGTTTGGTACAAGTCTCATGAACTTGGCTGTGGTTTGGCCTACTGCCCAGACTCTAGATTTAAATACTTCTACGTCTGCCACTACTGCCCAGCGTAAGCACATAACATGTTTATTCTCTTTTTCAGCCAGTTCACTTTCATTGAATATTTGGTCTGTACAAGACCTTGTGTTATCTATGTTTACTAATTGATGCTTTGGACTACAATATATTTCAGTGGAAACTACAATTTAGCTCGCCCTTACAAAAATGGAGACAGCTGTGCTGACTGCCCCGACAACTGTGACAACGGACTGTGCAGTAAGTAAAAGAGCTGCATCCATAAGTAGATAAATCAATTATTAAATTCAAGAAAAATTAATTCCCTACTGGTTGACAATCATTAAAGTCAGTTTTCCAGCGAATATGTTAACGTGCCACTTTCAGCTCCTTAAATGGAAGGATTTCTTCTTTTGGCTTTCTTAGTAAATAATGGGCATTGTGTTTTGGACTTTTGGTTGTACAATGGTCACATTTGACATTTAGAAATTTTACAGACCAAAAAACGTGATTTCAAAGTTGCTGTTCTACTGGCTTATACAGCATTGGAATTTTCTCGTCCGTTTTGACCTCACTGTTATTTCAAAGGAAGTCATTTTCACTTAAGCAATTTAAAAACAGCAATATTTTCATATTGGCAGAGAAAAACTTGAAAGCATTAAACATATTATTCATCTATATAAGCCACTAGCTAACCCCATCACAAACCTGGTGGTAGTTTTTACTGAAACCTTAGCATCATTTTTAGCTTCCAGCTGTTGGCTCTCTCTAGTTGTGTCTTTTTCTTTGATCTCTTAGTAATAAGTTCGTATGGAAACATATCTTTTAGATTGCAACCAACCAGCGTCTAGATAATCCTTAAAGAGAAGTTGTATGTGGGATTCTACTACTTTTTTTCCAGTAATGTTCAGTTTTGTTTTTTAATTACAAATGTAATGATTCCTTCATTTTTTTTTCTCTTCCAGCCAAACCATGCCCGTACAATGACAACTTTGGTAACTGTCCTGGATTTAGTTATAACTGTATGTTTAGTTTCTTTGTCAACTGGTGCCCTGCCACCTACAACTGCAAAAGTGGAGAAATTGTTTAAATTGCACGTTTTCATTTCCTCTGGCTAATCCAGTCTTTCAGCATGATTCAATATTGTGTCCTCATAATTTAATTCTTGGGGATGTTTGACTGGCCAGTAATCAGCAGAGAATAAAAAGGAAATTTACTTTGGCAAAGTATTTTATACCCAAAACATCATCTGCAGAGCCAGGTGCCCTTTGACTTTTTGTAAGTTGCGAACACTCACAAAGAGGAAGGACAGGGTGGATTCAGCAAGAGTGGGGAGGTAAAAGTAATCAGATAGACTTCCCAGAGCTACGCCAAGAAACAACCTCGCAGACCAAACCTGCTTGCTGCAAAACAAAAGAATAAACCTGACTTCCCGCATTAGCTAATGTGCTACATGAATTCCGAGACAAATATTGTAGTTGTTAATACGTAGTTCTAAATACTAGTATTATTTTAAGTTTATTTTTCTATAGCTTTCTTTCTGTGTGTAAACATAAGCCAGTGAGGTTGCAATATTCCAATTATTTTCAATAGGGGTGTGATGAGATCTGGGGCCTGTACTACGAAGCAGGATTTGGGTTTAGCGAGGTAACTTCAGTGTTAACCCTGGGTTCACTTCTTACCTGGCTATATCGCCACGGTAACTTATGCTGTACACCTAACCTGCTCCGGAGCAGATAAGATAAGAGATCAACCTGTGAAAATCTCCACCCACTGACCAATCAGAATTTTTGATTGTGGAGCTCCCAGAGCTGATCGAGAGGGGCGAGGACACTTCATGACTCACTGTCCTGTATGACTTTACATTATCTTTAAAGTTAATGATTTTTTTTTTTACTGATATCATACTTCATCAGATACTCAAAAAAACTACCGGAGCCTTTTAGTTGTGTTTTGAAGATGTAAAATGATGAATAGCTTACTTATGGCTTTGAATAACATGTTCATATTAGTAATTCGTATTAGTAATTTGAGTGTTATTGCATGGCCTTGTGGAACAGTCTTTACATTTCACTGCACATCTGTATGAGCATGTGACAAATAAAAATCTTGAATCTTGAAATCTTGAATATTAATGTTTATTTGTTCTGTTGTTTGTTCTGTTTGTTATCGTCAGAGCTGCAGCTGAAATATAACTTCTCAAACTGCCACATGAAAGAGTCAGACATCCAGTGAAGAGAAAAAACAGGAGTTATTATAATCAGTTCTAAGGTGAACTAATGATGAGAAAAAAATATAATAAGCCGCAGTTTGCACAATAATACTCACCAGTTTTTCTTCTATCTGTCCTTCCTGCATTTTTTCCTGGTACTCGTACCGTACTCTAGTACTGTCCACGTCTACTCTGGAAGTGGACTGCTATATGAGGTGGAAGTAGGAAGATATATTCTAATTTCTAGTTTGTAAAGTTGATATCCCTGACAGGGGGATAACATACACTGTTATTGAAATGATGTAGCTTTTTATATAATGGTCTGTTGTTTTTCAGAGTTTTAAAAGAACTATCTAAATAAAAAACGAGTTCATTTTTATCAAACTGCTTGTTCTATTATTATACACATGGTTGAAAATACACAGACACTGTATTTCTATTTACTTTAGATACAAGTGCCAAACCTCAAAAATAATCAAAAATAAATATTACCTATCAAAATATTAAGACAAAACGAAATCCACAGATTTCAGAAGTTGGAATCTCAAAATGTTAAAGGTCACACATTATGCAAAATACACTTTACCATGTTTTTCCGACATTAATATGTGTCTCTAGCCTGTCTACTAACCCCTTAATTTATAGACATGTGTAGAAAGGAGAGGTTCAAGTATAGTTTTGGAGTTGAGGAATGATTCAGACATTTACTGAGGAATTCATTTTATTTATGTCAATTATATTTTTGGTTTAGGTTCTATTTTTTTGTTAGTTGGTTGATTTAGTTCTCATTTCCTGTTTTATTTTATCACACACTCTGCTCGTGTTTCATCACTTACTGTCTTTGTGTGTTCTCTTTTCCTTGTGATGTGTGCCCTGCCCTTATTGTTCTCACCAGTGTCTGTTCCTTTCCTTCTGCCAGTTTGTTTCAACCACCTTGCTCCTTGTGGTTATTGTTTCATGGCTCCTCCTGTTTTCTCACCTGTTTTGTTGAATTTTTAGTTTGCCTTAAATTGGACATTTCATTACGGACTCTGTAAGTAGGTAAGCTTCTGTTTTGCCTCTTTGTTGCTTAATTATTATTTCCTAATTGTCTTAATGCTAACATGTTTCAGGGATTTTACATGTATTTTGAAAATATAAAAGTTTATAATGGCGTATCTGGGAAAATGATTAAAAGCCGATATCAGGAACAGGAACTACAAGTTCTAAAGTTGGTCTGGTAGTTTCTCATCTAAAAGTGCTTAACTTGTTCAAAAATAATACCTATAGTACCACCATGTGGTCACTTATCAATGTTTTACATCTTCAAATATTTCTTAACATTTTACAAAGCAAATCAATATTTGTACATTGTGTTCCTTGAATTGTGTGCAGTGCTGAAACCGTATGGTCATTTCACAAGTCCATCACTCTACAATTTTTCAAAATAAGGAAAAAAGGAGCACTGATACTCCACAGTCCTTCCGAGTAGTGGCATGAGTGTTCCTGATGATGATGGACATGTGAAGGGTAATCAACCGAGCCTTTGTAGCTCTCACAGCACAAATAGCACAACCTCCTTTGTGCTATTTGGTGAGGACCTGAGGTTTAGTTACTACTTAGAGTCTTGGTTGATTGTCCCATAAGTTTCAGCATATACTGGTGGGGACCACCGACTGTAAATATTTACAGACGTAGCCTGAGTGACGTCACCCATCTGTTACTGAAGGGGGCTCTGGAGGCTCATTGGCAGCAGCAGCCATGCTGGAAATCATCTCTCAGCCTAACTTTCAGTCAATGTAACGACAGGCTGAGAGCTGGAGCTGAGGCGGGTTTTAAGCCTCTTGACAAACCGCTATTTTGGGCCCACCTGTCAATCAGGTCACCTACACGCCTTACTGGATAACAAGTATAGTCTGGCACTCTCAGCTAAGAGAGCTGGTCCTGCAGTGGAGCTGGGATGATTGTAGATGGTTGAGAGTAGAAGTAACATCAACAAACACAAACATGACCCTAACAGAGGTTACCAATGAGTTCTGGTGGTTTAGGAAGACGTGACGGACCATGTTAATTCCATTGTCTGCTCTGCAGGCTCTGCAGGGGAGCTCTGCATGGGGTCCAGTAAGAAATGGCTTTGAGGTAGGACAGCAAAAGGTGCTGAAATAAAATCAACGAAGAGGTCCTGGTGATGAAGTCTTTTTGATTCTTGTGTATTTAGGGATGGATTAGACAGCTGGTCAGAAGTGTTTCAGGACAAATAGAGGGACTGGCTTGATTGTACGAGGACTATGTATCTTTAAGAAATAGTGCCAGGTCTTTCCAAAAACAAATGGAGTAGTCAGCCAGTGTAAAAAAAAAAAGTACCACCCACCCAGAAAAAAACATTGAGAGAGAGAGAGAGAGAGAGAGAGAGAGAGAGAGAGAGAGAGAGAGCCACCCTGGGGTTAGGCTTTAATGCCCTCAGAGCAACAGGCCCAGGTGTTTTTAAATTGGACCAATCGACTACTGTAGGAATCAGAGAGACAGAATCAATTAGTTATAGCCTGGTATTCAGCCAAGACAGTGACCGTCACAGTAAGCAATCTTCAGTATCCTGCCTTAGAGAGAACTTTCCACACATGCTCAGGGGATGTTGGTTCTCTTTGGATGTACCTACATATGTGAACAAACAGCCCTCAGTGATGGAGTTTCACAAATCTAGATACAGATCCTCTCTCACTGATGATCACCTGTCAGCTGTCCTTCGCATGTCCACCTCAAACATTGAATCTGACTTCAGGGCACGTGTTCAAGCCCAACACAGACTAGATTTCTAACACACAACAAGAACAAATTGTGTTATAAAGTTGGTATTTTCACAATGCCTGTTTTTATATTGACCAGAATTATGTTTAGACTTTTGGTCCATCCCTCCAAAGTAGTCCCAGTCTCCCATGTGGCTCATTAAGGGCCCAGGGGAATTATCCGATTCCACATGAAGTTTGGTTTCCAGCTAGAAGAGACCTGCGCGACAAAACGTTGTTCGACTTGTGCTCAAAGGGCATAACTATAGCAGCTCATAAATGGTTGATGTCTTGCCATGGAAGAGGAATTTGCTTTAACTTAATCATACAAGGCTTCAAACTGCCTTCATCTTTTCAAGGCTGATTTGAGTCCATGTCTGAACATATCAGCATGCCAATATTCAGAATCTGTTAGTTTTCATCAAAACATTGACCATTTCCTGTCCTGAGATTGGGAGGAATCATACATGCAAAGCTCAATGACTTGCATCCGAAGCTGTTGCCATGCCCATGCATTGTTCACCATGAAAAGGGAAGTTGTTTTTCAACACCTTAAAATCCTTCTACACTCACCAAATGACCCAGACATGAGCATACTGGAAAATTTAGAGGTTTGATATGGGTTTTGTCAAAAGACATGACAAGATGGTTTAATAGCGCCCCCTACATTTCAACAATTTCTAGAATAAACCGCTGCAGCACATTGAACCTAGGATTATGAAAGTTAATAGGAATATGTTCCTTACCTAGACCTCCAAAAAGCCTCTTAGAGCCCTGTTTTTTAACAGGCAATCCACCGCTTTTAATTTTAAAGAAATGGGTAAAATTATTCATAGGAGTTATTTATATATTGTTTATCTGGGCCTGATTCCTACTGACTTAATTTAAAAGAAGGATAGATATCTACCTTTTCAGAATCCTGATATTTACTTCTTGTTGTAAAACGGCCATCACAAAGAATTAGATTAAAAGTGAATAACGCTGGTGATGCATTGGTTGGGCATTATAGAGGAAATATATTCCATGGTAGACTTAAAAACATGAACAACGTTGGGAAAAATGGACTGAATATCAAAAAGGATGGATTGTGACAGGAAAAGAATGCATGAAACAAAGTTTCTCTTGTGGAGACAGGTTTATAGTCACATTCCTTATGAAATATTGAAATTAAACAATTACATTAATTTATCATGCAAATCAGCATATTTCAGAATTCTTTACTTAATCTAGACAGAGGGAAGAGATGTACATTTGTACATACTTCTTCTTAGTATACGGTCAACATATTTTTGTAGTATGTTTTATTTATTTTGTTCCACCTCATGTCAAACAAATGTGGGTAAAAAACATCTTTGATCATGCAGACAATGTCATTTTTCACGTTATGTATAAAAGACAATCTGCCGCTGGAAATCTTTGCCCATTTAAAAAAACGTGTTAGTGACGACTAGTGAGGTGGAAGCATTTTCATATCTTATCGATGCTTCAGGAGTTCGTGTAAAGTTTTAATTATCAAAGTTTAATTAAGACACCATGTTGTGTTTGAAAACTTTCTCCCATATCCTTGCCAAAAATGTACTGTTTACAAAGTAAACACAGACCATACCACATCAAGGATGTTTTGCAGGTGCCACGTTGACTAAATGCTTTCTTCAGTTTGGTCGTTAAAATTTAGGATGCCTTTAAGTTTGTGTGTTTAATTGTCACGTGTTCGTGTAGTCCTGTATATATTAATCACTCCTTTGGCTCTAGGAGACAATCCTGGTTTAAACCATGTACACTTCAAGCTTCCTGTGTGCCTTCAGCCTCCTGGCTGCTCTGCAGCTACCTGGCTCTATGGCGGATAATCAAGTACCGGTAAGTGATACACAATCAATTGTTATAGGATATATGTGTGTATATTCCTTGTTTTGTCCTAAAATGTTTTCTAAATGTTCATCTTTGTAATGAGGTTCTTAATAATGTTCAATAACTTAACCATTATTTTCATTGTCATCCCTGAAACTAAATCAAAAGACGGGTGAGTGTTATCAGTGTTGTAAATGTTACACATACACTCATCTTAAAGATTAAATATAATCATACTTATTCAAACTTTGCAAACTGTGATATTTTTGTTATTTTCTCAATTTAGATCCTGGGGTCACTGGCGAGGATCAGCAAGAGATCCTGGACAAGCATAACGATCTAAGAAGGGCAGTTACCCCTACCGCTAGCAACATGTTGAAAATGGTAACAACCGTTAAATGCTTTCTTGTTTAATAAATTAATTCAAAGCAGGATAACTGAGCACTTGTGTATTTTCTGGTTTCCGATGTATATTTTGTGTTTGTGGCTGACCTGTCCTCTGCTCCCCACAGACCTGGAACAACGAAGCTGCCGTCACTGCTCAAAAGTGGGCCAAAACCTGCCCCATGCAACACAGCTCATACCTCTTCAGAAAGATCAATGGTAACTTAATCTAAACTGCTTTTATACTCTACAAAACAAGCACATAGAAAAAAGAAGTGTGTTAATTGACAACCTTAATAAGCGTTTCATTCCTGTCAGAGCGTTATATCATCTCAAACAAGTCATCTGACTCTGAACTCTATATTCATACCTTTACTAATTAAATGAAATAGAGAAAACAAAGTAAATACAAATAAAGGCATCATAAATGACACGTTATGTTTCAATAAAATACATCTAAAAAAAGTCATTTAGGTTTGGTCAAGATGACCAGGCGCGTCCTTTGCAAATGTTGAATTATGCCCTAATTTTAACTGGTTGGATGTGGTGCTTACTGAAAGGTTATTGTAATAACACTTTTATACAACACTGATCAAGTGTGGTTTGTAATCTGAAAACATCATCAGTCTTTCACAAAAAACGAATTAAATGCTGATTAGAGGTAACACCATGTGGAAGATGCTTTACACTGCAGGTTATTGATTTGGACTCTAGTGACAGAGTGTCTCAGGGTTCAACTCAAGTATTTTGATTTCTAATGGACTGAAATGTCTCTCTGTCTTGTTGTTAAACTGTAGCTACCTCTTGTGGAGAGAATCTGTTCATGTCCAGCCACAATCTAACCTGGAGCAAAGTCATCGATTCCTGGTACAGCGAGGTGAAAGACTGGGAATTCGGATCTGGAGCGATCAATGATGGAGTGGTTGGACACTTTACACAGGTGATCTTATTAGATCTTAGAAGGTTCCTACAACCTTGTATACAAATGAGTCATCACTTGTTTTTTTTAAATGATCTTACGAAACAATTCTTGTTCTCTGCACAGGTTGTTTGGTACAGGTCTCATGAACTTGGCTGTGGTTTGGCCTACTGTCCAGACTCTAGATTTAAGTACTTCTACGTCTGCCACTACTGCCCAGCGTAAGTACGAGTGATGTTTTTTTTCTGTTTGTCAGTTGAATCACTTTCATTAAATACAAGACCTTGTGTTATCTTTGTTCACTATTTGATGCTTTGGACTATATTTCAGTGGAAACTACGATTTAGCTCGCCCCTACAAGACTGGAAAAAGCTGCGCAGAATGCCCCGACAACTGTGACAACGGACTGTGCAGTAAGTAAAAGAGCTGCATCCATAAGTAGATAAATCAATTAGTAAATCCAAGAAAAATGTATCCCCTACTAGTAATTATTTAATTCCTTTTTCCAGCAAATATGTTAACATTTGCCTTTCAGATCGTTAAATGGAAAGATTTTCTTCTTGTCTTTGTAATTTGTCCAGTGAATAGAGTTTTTGGTTTGGTTTTAAAAAAGTCACATTTGACTTTTAGACGGGCTAATTTCCTTTTACCTTATGCAGCACTGGAGTGTATGTGTGCGGTTTTTTTTTAATGACAATGTCTGATGATAGTTTGGAATTTGTTAACAAATCTTTGCATCCCCCTTTGGAGTAAATGATTAGGGACTGTGTGTTGTCCTCGTCATATCTTTCATTGTTCATTGCATCATAAGTTATTTTTCATGTTGCAAAAGAAGAAGATTAAGATTTTGATCTATCTAAAGGCAAAAAAGAAAAACTTTCGTCTGCTTTGTCAGTCACTTCTGTTTGCAGTTTCATCAGTCTGACCTGTCAGTCATTACTGTTAGCGGTTATCTTTGAAATTGAAACCAACCAGCTGGGTCATAATTGCCTCTAGAACATCTTCAATCAGAAGTTGTAGGTCTATGTGGGATGTCATTACCTCTTTGAGTCATGTTTTATCTTCTTTGCTGATAATAAATGTACTGATTCCCTCCTTTTTCTCTATCTCTTCCAGCCAATCCATGTCCACACAATGACAGGTTTGTGAACTGTCGTGTGTTCAAAGTGTATTGCGAGGTGTTCAATATTGTTAAAGAGTACTGTGGTGCCACGTGCAAGTGCAAAACTGAGATTGTTTAAATTGCACGTCTTCATGTCATCTGGCGCATCCAGTCTGTTTCAATAAATTTCAGCATGATTAGATATTGTGTCCTCATGATTGAATGCTTCAGGGTGTTTGACTGTCCAGTCATCAGTAGATGACAAAAAGGAAATTTACTTTGGCATGGCCATTTGACTTTTTGTGAGGTGCACACTCACAAAGAGGAAGAACAGGGTGGATTCAGGAAGCGAGTATGGAGGGAAAATTAATCTGATGGACTTCCCAAAGCTATGCCAAGATAAAACCTCACTTTGAGACCAATCCTGCTTGCTGTGGCTTAAAAAAGACCAAAGAGTATATGCCTGATTTCCTGCATTATTTCATTACTGGTACATATATAGTTAGATTCTGTGAGATATACCAATGACAAAAACTATTTAATTTAATCATGTGACACTGCTAATATTGACAGGTAAATGACAGCAGGGCTTCCAGTGATATCAGTGCTGATTCAACTAAAAGATAAAAATGTATTTCCTATTAGAAGACACTTGGGCTGTTGATGCCAACACATTAAATGGATGTGATTAATCCAGAGACCCTAATGCAATAATTATCTTTAACGCAAATTAATCACACGACTTTCAGGCTTCATATGCAAACTAACACGCATCCTAATTTACTCTAAACCTTCAAAAAACATTGAACTGATGACAACATACCATGATGCAGACAGAAAGAGAGACCTGCGCTCATTTCACAGAGCAGCATAATGATCGTAATAGTCACAATGAACTGAAACGATGATGTGACTTAATTTGATTGTGAAGCCTCCGAAGCCACGACCGTCAACAGTTCTGTGGACCTTCAGGGAAATATAAGAACTGCACTGCAGACTCAGTTCTCTTCATACACTGACACAATATCAGCATCATCGACACACAGATCCCCATTTTGAAGCCTCTGTCCCCTCACCACGCTGTGGCATCATAAACTCCCAGGTCACATCTCCCAATCAAGTCGTTCACATCATGAGTAGACGTGGATTGTGAATTATAATGGGACTTCAAATGGCTTTATCAGTCACTCAACTGTTAATGCAGCGATAGACTGCCATGTCTTTTCGACACTGCATGAAGTGAAAGCACACCTTGTAAACGTAATAAAAACAACATTTAGCCATTTGGCAACACTCATGTGTGAGACCTGAAACAGATCAATTATCACCACTTCTGATTTGAGTGAAGATTTCAGGCATGATAAAGCAGTGGACAGGAGACAAGAGATATACAGACAAGCTACTTAAAACTTAAAAAAAAAAACTTTTTAAAATACAGAGTAGCAAACAACGTCAGACTACAATAGTATGATCAATGTTTAACAAGAAATGGTAGTGCAATTAAATTAGATCTTTATACTGAAAAAATAAATAAAAACACTTACGGTACATGAAGCATTCGTTATTTAAATGATCATGTTTTTTATTGTTGCAAGCAAGGAAACTAATTACGAGGCTACTTATCTGAAATGCTCATCAGTACCGGCGTCGGCCCTCAATGAGTAAATATTATATTATAGTAATATATTTGTAAATATTAGTTTAACTTAAGTCACTGCACTTTGTACATAGGTTATTATCTTGTCTTACTTGGTACTTATTTATTATTTCATTGCTTATTTTATTATATCTACTCTACTTTATTTTTACATCTTGAATTATTTCTATATTTTCTACTGCTGTTTTTTGTTTAAGCGCAATGGTAACAAATGTCCCTGGGAATTTCTGATTCTGATGAGCAGTGGGATGTTTTTATTCATATCAGACAGCGACAGTTTTCATCAGACTTTATGCTTTTACTCTCTCTGCTCCTTTAGGAAAGATATCCTCCTACTAACCAACATCTGAGGCTGAGAGAGTGTGCCTCTCCTCAGGGGTCAACTACAAATGTTCTGGATGCTCAGCAGGCTCCTGGTTCAAATAGGGTGGTGTTTGTATGAGTTAGGCTCATGCAGGGTAGCACAGATGGATCTACAGGCTCAGCTGTTAGGACTTTATCAAGGCAGGATCTGCTGAGGTGTTTTGTTTTTCTGGTACGAGCCAGAGTTTCCCCTCTGCACTCAGTCAAACGTGTTTCCATCTTGACTCATAAAGTAATCTACTCTAAGTACAACATTACATTTCCTATTGCCACACTGTCACACGCAGGGCTATTGTGTTGGAATTTGCGCCCTTTGATGTGATTAAAAAACGTATTTCATTGAAAATAAACACTTGGGCTGAATTTCTCAAATCTTGTCCGCTGGCCAAAAGGGCCTAGCTCTCCATAACACAACACGAAGGAGTCGAACAAGTTTCTGCTCCGTCACTGACATATCTGTGAGGTTAACTTAAGAGACACAGAAGAGCCCCACCTGAAGCGAGCAGACAGAGGAGCTCGAAGAAGACTTTTCTATCTATAGAGGGGAGAGACGGGAATGAGTTGTTTTTCTCTGCCAATGAGTAGAGCGATAGCAGAGCTCCTCTGGCGTGGTCTGACTCGATAAGCCCGGCTGTGCCATCCTGTGGGGCTTATCATCTCCACCAGTAAGCCTCAACAGTTGGTCCCAGGGTCAGAAAATGTTTATGACTTATGGCGTCAGTTGGTCTCCCTGAAGTGTAGATTGTGTAATTCAAGAAAAAAATAACAATATTTGCATTTTCAGCATTTCTTCAGGTGTTTAGTTTAATGTAACTAATAGAGTCTCTTGAGCTATAATTAGCCTATGCTATAAAGTTATCTCATCAAAAGCTATTGAGGCTGAGATCGATCAGAAAAGACACATTAACACTCACAATAACACTCACATTAACGCTCTGCAACACAAATACAGAAAACTAAAGAGAGAGAGAAGTAAGTTGTCAGAAACATACATAAAAAAACAGTTTCATCAGACAGGAAGACACTTGTGAGATCAGTACCATCAGTCTGTCCGGACTGAAGACAGCTCATTTAGTCTACGCTGTTATCTCCACACATCAGTCCCCTTTGGATTAGAAACAGGATGCTGAGAAAAAAAAAAAAGCTTCACTTCGTCTTAAACCTACCAAGACGCAGAAATTTGATTTACTTTGGTCAAATGACTTTAAAACCAAGATGAAATACTCTGTGACACTTGGTGAACTTTAATCTGCCTGCGGGTCTACAGAGTACCAGGACCAATCAGAACTCTTGTGCTGAATCAACCTACACCAAATGCACACACTTAATAGCAAATTGTGCAAATACAAAAATCTGAAATTCTGTTATGTTAAAATATTTTCATGGACTTCAGGAGAGCGAACAGTCAGGAGGTGAGGAAGGACTATCTCAGATTTGTCATGTTTTGTGTTCAGTCTAACAGAGCTCACCACAAGTTGCTAGCAAAGTTGTTTTCTATCATGTAGGTATGAGTCAGCAATATAACCTCCAAACGAGTTTTATGAACCCCTGATTGTCTGAAACCTTCAGGTTACACCTGTTTGCCCTTTAGTGCTCATTTAAGCATCACAACTGCCCCAAATGACGCTTAATGCTAGGAACGCACGACTGAGTGGCCAGTGATCTGCTTCGTCATTGAACTGCTGCAATTCACATCATTGTGGTGTCAACACAAGCAGCATTTCAGGGGCAAGCGATGCTGTAAAGCTACTGCTGCCAGTCATCCTCTTTGAGTCTTCCATTTATAATTGCCATAAAAAACATCAATGTTTCAAATATTTCACTCTACATATTACCGTTATTAACATTTAGTTCAGACAGAAATCTGAAATGGAGACAGGCATATAAAGTTGATAAAATACAGGTTTAGAGATTGAAACTGTAGTAAAAGGTTTATTAAAGCTAGTATTGCATTAGTAAGTCTACCAAGATATTATTTTCGAAAGAGTTTTTTGCCAATATTAAAATGCTCCTTGCAGTAAAGCATGCAAGACTCATATTCCCTAGATTTTCTGCACTGCAGTAGATATTTTCACATACACAACAAATTTAAAGGAAATAGGTTTTGGGACAGACACTTACTGTGGTAAAAGGTATAAGGCCCCATACAGCCTCCACTATACTGGAGTGTCATGTGTGGGAAGTGAACTCCCGGCTAAGAGCTACAGAAACATTCAGACTTCCAGCTAATGAAAGAGGACCAGTAAAGTTGTGAGCTTCCTTCCTTTCATTGAGTGCTTGAGATGCAACTTGACAACCTCTTCAGCTTTCATCAGAAACTTGCAAGACCACTCTCAAATCAAAGCAGACTAACAACAGATCTCCTCTATGAGACTTCCAAGCTCTGGCTGATCACTCTGATTGATAAAGACCTGAAGTATGGAGGACTATAGGCATGGCAATCACTGATATTAATCAGTATATCGAAGCTGGTTCTATAGCAACCACATAACTCCCTATATTGTCCTGAGGAACTCATAACTAATGAACTGGATACACAATAAGGGGTTTAATGTGCCCTTTACTTCCTCCAGTGCCTGGACTAAAGTAATTGTTTCACAAGTGAGCAGGATTTCTACGAGTTCAACCAGTGGCCAAACACTAAGCTCTCCCAGCATACCGGGCTTAATAAAACAGTTCTGCTTCATGTCAGCCATTAGCTGACCGTTGTTGTTTCTTCTCGGAGCCACTGCCTGTTGGATTCCTTTCCTCACCTAATCACCCTCAAGCAAATGTACATTGAACAAACATTTAGAAAGGGGTCCCAAGCCAGCAGCAGAGGAAATGGTTAAAGTGGGTGTAGGCGTATTCCAAACACAATGCAACGCAAAACACTCATTTACACACAACAACCCGTAAAAGAAAGAAAATCAAGAGCCAGAATGGACGCAGGAAGACTCTCAAAATATATTTGTGGTTTAGGACTACACAGATTTTTTTAATGATGTTCAACAAAATAAACAAAACATGGTTCAACAACTGATAGTCTCATTACTTAACCACGCTGAAAAGAAAACCGCTCTCATAATTAATTGTTGCTTGTAATATACTTTCAAATACAACATTCCCCTGTGTGAGTG